AGAACACTGTGTTTTTAACACCCATTCTTCTTGACAATGCTATGTGGATTCTGTGTTTATCTAAATGATTCCGTTGAAGAATGAAATAAAGATGGATACAATTAGTTCAACTGTAAGTGAGCAATGGCCCTTCTAAGGGAGCTATTTTCCCTTAGCCTATAATACAAATGATTTTACTTGCTTTGGGCTATGCTACTTATAACTGCCTATAGTTTATTCATGTTTGCTATCAACACAAAAGCAGTTATGCCTGTCATAGCAGCTCTGATGTAATCCCACCCTAGGAAAAAAAGTCATGATTTCCCCCACCATCGTCCTTGAGTTTTTATCTATTCTAGGTTGCTAGTAGCAACACCTGAGCAACATTTGCTGTTAGGTCTAAATATAGCCTATTAAATTCGAGGTGGAAATGATAGCAAGCTAATCACAAATATGTTTTCATGGCAAGCCCCAGGTGGTTAATATGGCATATATAAACTCCCAGGATTTGATACCACAACAATTTTTTGTTTTTTAAAAAATTATATCAGTAAGCAATTTTGTGAAGGGCCTGCCAGGTGTTGACTGGTACACAATTCTTAGCCAGGCCCAAATCCTGACTGCTTGCCTTACACCTCAGTGAGAAAGCAAAGGATGAACTGTGCTGTGTGGCATTTATTTGAACATAATATCTCCCTGACTACCCAAATTTCCCATTATTTCTGGAGACAAACGACAGCTGTGTCCAGGTACACACAGCACAGCCTAATTAATTTGATGGCTTCTCCCTGAAGTAAGAGATAAGGAAGCGTGAATTCCCATGACACACATCACACACCAGGTTATGAATGCTTTCTAGAAAAAGACTATTTATTTTCTAGAACTTCCACAGCAACATCTCTGTTACTTCTGAATAATTCAAAGAGGTATGTTGGTCAAAACCTGAATATATCTGACCAGGTTTCAACAAACCTCCTTGCTTTGGCAAAGATGGTACAGTAACTCTGGCAACTCTGCCGAGGTGGGGGGAGGGGTTGTCTCAGTAATTGCTCTGTGGTCCCTGCAACTTCCCCAGACTTAGGAAGAAGTCTGGGTATTATTTCTATGTTTTGACCAAGCTGTCCAAAGAGTTTTGCCAAGGCAGGTGAAACTGGCTTTTTACTCTTCCTGCTGTGGAGCAGAAAAGGCAGGGGTGGGGTGTACAGTGAACACTTTCCCTCCATCTCTCTGTTGGCAAACATGAGGTGCAGAGAGGGTTGGAAGTTGCTGCCTCAGGGCGCTCAATGCACTTTGTGGCAGCAGCTCCCAATGGTACACACTCCCTACTAGTTGCGGGATGAGAGACTTGACAGATGGGGCGACTACAAAAAGGTGTCCCACCTTTTCTATGTAAAGATGACATGCTTGTATTTGTCTGTGCTAGAATGCCTGCCTAGTCAGCTATAAAAACAAGAAAAGGTATAAATAGCAGCCCTCCCCCCCCCCCAATTCCCTATAGAGATAGGAGATGTTGCTCTTCATCTTGAAAAGGGATGGACAGGTTAAAAGCACAATGGGTTAGGATACACTAACTGTTGTGCTGTCAGTCCCTTACATCTGATGTGAAGGGTCAAAAGTTGCAAAGGGCATTTCCAGATCATTGGTGCTTTGTGGCGGAATTCAGTCACAAACCAACAAATGCAGGTTTCAAAATCAAACTTTATTTGGAGCTCTTGCGCAACTTTCCACATCAGACCTTTTGCAATAAGCAGATTCATGGGGAAACACATTGGGAAATGTGGGGTTATGTGCGCTAGATGCAAGAATGTCTAACCTCCCTGCAAACAAATCAGAATGAATGCTGAATAAACAGGTCATATGGAAACAACCAAAGTGTGTTGGGTTGTAAACTTTCTCCATCTCCTCTATCAGCCTTAGAGGACAATTGGGTTTGTTAACGTTCTACAGATGTTGTAAGAAAAAAGATTCAATTTGTGCCAATTCTCATTTCCATCTCAATTTTAATTCAGAGCTTGGATTAATGAGCCATATCCATTCTCTTCACATTTGAAGTCTTTTACTGCCAGAATGAAGTAGTTGAACTTCCATTTTACTATCGGCTTCTCACAGCCAGCGACTGTGTTTCTGTGACCTTGCTAGTGTTCTAGATTTTAGTTGGCCTGTCATGTCACTGCTGTCCATAGTGACAGCATCTCAGACCGGGAAACAAGAAAAAGGCAGCTCAGCCAATTCCCAAAATGGAACGTGGGAAAGGTCACTGATTTGCATTGATGGCATTTACATTTTAATAACTCCTTCAGTTTCAGGCAAGATCCCCCCCCCGAATTATAGCTTCTCTGTTCACACTGTGCAAAAGCTATTTGAGGAAGACACCAAAGGAGGGCGAGGCAAGCAGTTTCTTTCCTAATCATAAAGAGCCAGCCAATAGGATCTGCACTATTTTGCTCATTTTAACAATGGAAGATTGTTTCCTCGTCACATTTCTTTCTTTCTAGCTCACCATAATTGGCATGTGAATACCTTGGTCCATAGGTTTCTCTAATTTCACCGCCATCCTGTAGGTTCTTGTCTGTTCTCAGCCCAAACAGTGAACCTTATGAATAATTAGGGCAGCTCCACACATTTTGTTTGCTGCAATTGACTCCCTTGCTGCCTTAGCCCCTTAATTCCAAACATGTTCACAGGGTTACAGGTTTAGGAAACAAGGCAGCAAGGATCCTACGCACAACAAATATTTAGAGCAGTCTTATACTTGGATGCATATGATGCTTTTGCTAAAAAACCCAAAAAAAACCACCTCACTAATCATCCTCAATCAGCAATCCCTTTGCTTCTAAGGCAAAGTAGAAGCTTGAAGGAGGGTCATGGTAGAGGAAGGAATGGCCCACTCCGAAATCATAGGCTCTCAACTGCAGCAACATGCAGTCAATTTACAGTGTTAAAATTAAAGCTCTGCAATTCTAAGCCAACTAAGCAATCTAATTGGCCCAGTGACTGCTGATGGTAAAATATATAAAATCACTGAGAGGGACAGGAAATGACACAATGACAGTTCATTTTGTTAACTGTTGTGATGGGAATATAGATGGACCATTAGCATTAATCAGAGCTTTAGCTAAATGCTTTTCTCAAGAACAGGGAGGTAACTAATTGAATCAGTCCTGGTTTTTAATCCGTTTTGCTGCTTCTGAGGTTTTTTTTTTTAAAAAAAAGAGATCTGATTTTTATCAGTTAAAAGGATACGGCTGTAGATCAGCCTGTCAGCCTGGTGCTCTCCAGATCTCTTGGACTACAGCTCCCCTTCTTCCCCTGACCATTGGCTGTGCTGGCTGGGGGTGATAGGAATTGCAATCCAAAATGTCTGGAGGACAACAGGTAGGGAAAGAGATGGTGGGCATTTTGCTGAAATACACAGGTGCCATGCAGTGAGCCATAAAAGGCAGAGCTGGCTTTCAGTTGTACTAAAGCACTCACTGGCTCAGTTGTAATGGAATACAGTATGTCTGCTTCGTCTTCTACTGAAAATGTGGAAGTCTGGCTGATTGCCAGCTGACCAGATAAATAGTGATTGGAACATGTAGTTCTTAAAATACCATAGATGCAAATGAACCAAATTGGAGCATGCAGAAATGTTCAGAATCTGCACACAGGCACGCCTTCCCACTTGCTGTTCCTTTTAGACTTGCCAAAGCCCCCTGAAAAAATTAGAGTGGTAGCAAGGAGTAAATAACATCATTTCCTTAAACGTCAGGATTCAGCTCCTGAAATCTAAAGTCTATAGGTAGACAACCTTACCAGCTCAAGCCAACCAGCCAATAGAGCATGAGACGCTTAATATGAGGGCCATGAGTTTGAGTCCCAGGTTGGGCAAAAAGATCCCTGCATTTCAGGGGTTTGGACTAGATGACCCTCATAGTCCCTTCCAGCTCTACAATTCTATCACTCTAATATGCATTAAGTGGTGGGGAATCCAGGCTCCAGTCGCTGGTCTTCTGGTTCTTCCCTGTTTCATCAAACAGCTGATCAGTTGTTATGGTAGCCAAAGGATTGTATGCTTTCTTTGCCCCCATTCCCTCCTTTCCCTGGAGAAAGTTAAGAAATGAATTGTCTCCGATTTTAACCATGGTTCCCTCTTAGCCAGGACTTTCTATTTGCTTCAAGTTCTGGTTTCAGATCTTTGCTAGATGCATCCATGTTCAGGTTAGTGCTGTTGCATCTCATAACTGCAGTTAAGTGGGATGGGGGCAATTTGCTCCAAAGAGAAGAGCTGTGTGGAAGGAATGTATAATCCTGCAGCCTGTTCTTGATCCTGTAACCACATCTAAGAGGCTTCTAATATTGGTCAGATCCATGTATTTAAACCACTCTTTTATTACTACTTGAACAGTCTTAGCTTCCCCTCAAAGAATCCCAGGCACTTTTTCAGGGGAATTTTGACTCTGCGTGAGGGTAAACTACAGTTGCCAGGATACTTTGGGGGAGACCATGACTGTAAAGTGGTTTAAATGTGTGGTGTGGATATACCCATTATCTACAGGCTCCTCCGGTCTGGTGTTATTTTGCAGATTTTCTTGACACAATAATAGTGCTTTATTAATTGTTCTGCAATGGTTCACCAATGCTATCACATTATTGCTGCCCAGAGAGACTATGTCACAGCAAAAGCAAGACAAAACAAACCAACTCAAAGCATTTGTGCTTTGAAAAGTTACAGGATTTCAGCTGGACGTTACAGGATATGCACAGACTGCAAATGAAGCAGTATGGCCACCCCAAAACTTTTGCTGGGACAAATAGCATTGTCAAAGGGATCACATATCATGGATGTTCAATGAACAGGACACCTGGAAGGAACCTGCAATTGCTTCTTTTATTACGTACTATGAAGAATGTTTGCATCAAAGAAGACTAAATGTAACATATGCTTCTGAATTGCCTTTCAAGAGCCAAATTCAAAAGTCACAATGTAGGCTTTCTGAATGCAAAGTCCTAAACAAACTTTATTTTTCTTTGGCCATCAGGGAGAAGTGCCTCCTTCCACTCCAGCTTGCTTTGGAAAGCAAGAACGTGAAGCTGGCCCAGCATGCTCTAGCAGGGATGCAGGTATGTGGCAATGAGGTTCTGCCGCAGTTGGATGTGTTTGATGAAGGTGGATGGTGCCCTGCTGACATTTTAGTTGCTAAGGCAGGGGTGGGGAATCTCTTTCAGCTTGAAGGCCACATTCTCTCATTGGCAATCGTTTGGCGGCCACATACCAGTCGTGAGTGGGCAACAGATGGACTCAATTGTTGCTATAATTCAACTGTGCAAAAGCCAGATGTTTCTACACATTGATCTCTAAATATCTCCTCAGGCCCATGGTAGTTATGCTGCGGGGTTCCACAGGGCACTCTTTTGTCCCCAGTGCTATTCAACACCTATATGAAGCCCCTGGAAGTGATCATTAGGAGTATTAGTGCAGGATGTCATCAGTATGCTGATGATACCCATCTCTGTTTCTCCATTACATCTGATTCAGGAGAAGTTGTGAAAGAATGGAGCCCAGGCACGGATGCAGTGGTGGACAGGATGAGGGCCTGTCAGCTGAGTCTGAACTCTGGGAAGACAGGGGCCTTATGAGTGGGTGGTTCTTGGATCTGATGGTTCTTGGTCAGTTGTTTCCCCGGGATGGGGTTGTGCTCCCTCTGAAGGAGCAGATATCTAGTTTGGGGGTACTCACTGGACCATCATTGTCACTTGAGGCACAGGTGACCTCTGTGGCTAGGAGTGCATGTTATCAGCTTTAGCTGGTACACATGTTACAGTCATTCCTGGACAGGGTTAATCTGACTGCAGCAATTCATGTACAGTGGTACCTCTGTTTTTGAACGTCTCCATTGAGAAATGTTTCAAAACTGGAACACCGAAAACCCAGAAGTAAATGCTTCCGTTTTTGAATGTGCCTCGAAAGTTGAATGGCTTCCACTGAGGTACCACTGCATTTTTATCAATTTTCTATGTAAATTTGCAGACCCCCCCCTTTGTGCCTTGGTTTTCAAGCGTTTTGGAAGTCGAACGGTCTTCCGGAATGGATTACGTTTGAAAACCAAGGTTCCACTGTATTGGTAACTTCAGGACTGGATTATTGCAATGCGCCTAATGTGGGACTGCCCTTGGGTCTGGTCCAGAAGTTTCAGATAGTGGTAGCGCAGAATGCTGTGGCAGGAACAGACTTCTGCCAGCACATTACACAAATGTTAAAACAGCTGCACTGGCTTTCCGTCTGCCACTGGGCCAAGTTCAAGGTTCTTATACTAGTGCAGGATTTCTCAAACTTGGGTCTCCAGCTGTTTTCACTACAATTCCCATCATCCCTGACCACTCGGCCTGCTAGCTAAGAATGATGGGAGCTCTAGTCCAACAACAGCTAGATAAACCCTGCACTAGTGTATAAAGCCCTGAATAACTTAGGCCCAGAATACCTTAAGGACTGCCTTACCCAGTGCACTTGAGGGGAGCACTATTGGTAGTTTCCCATAGGCCAGAAGCATAAGTTACCGTATTTTTTGCTCTATAAGACTCACTTTTTCCCTCCTAAAAAGTAAGGGGAAATGTGTGTGCATCTTATGGAGCGAATGCAGGCTATCCCAGAGCAGGCTATCCCAGAAGCCAGAACAGCAAGAGGGATCGCTGCGCAGCGAAATCAGCGATCCCTCTTGCTGTTCTGGCTTCTGGGATTCAAAATATTTTTTTCTTGTTTTCCTCCTCCAAAAACTAGGTGCGTCTTATGGTCTGGTGCGTCTTATAGAGCAAAAGATATGATATATCAGTTAGGAGTTGTGCCTTGGCTGTTGTGGGCCCAACTCTATGGAACTGCCTCACCACAGACACCATCCCTACTGAGTCTTAAATGCCTGGTCAAAACTCACTTGATTTCAGGAGGCCTTTGGACCTTGAATGCGTTGCCGATGTTTTACATTATTTCTGACATTTTAAAATTCTGAGGATTTTTGAGATTTACTTTAAGCTTTAAATTTTGTATATTATGTATTTCATTGCTGTAAGCAGCTTTGAGAACTACATGATGAACAATAGGGTATACATTTTTAAATATAAAAAACAGAATAAGGTATTTTGGGGGGGGGTGATGTGATTATTATACCAGCATTATGTATCAAGCAAATCAAGAATCCCTGTGATTAAGCAGTCCCATTCTCTCTTTGCAGAAGCTACTGTCTGATGAGAGATTTGTAACCATGGAAACAGACTCTGATGACAAGCAGTTGCTTAATCAAATGCTGAATGCAGTCAGAGTGACTCCTTCCCTCAACGAAGACCTGCAGGTAGAAGTTATGAAGGTTAGTATTTTTCAGACGTCAGTACTTACGTGGCTGCAGAGGAGACTTCCTGACTGACTCAACTCTGCAGCTCTCTGGAGCCTCTCTGAATCCTTAGTAACATTTCTTACGTCATGGTATGAAACCAGCTCTCATATTTTTGTTGCAAGTTGAACTCTGCTTTACCAACTGAAGTCTGGATTCATAGGGCATCAGTGTGTCAACATGACATTTATGACTGAAGATTTAAATTGTGACCACACTGTTGAGATAGAAAATCCTTTGGGTCCCCTGGTAGCTAGAAACAATGGCATGCAAAGAGTTTTGCATTTTTATGCCTAATGTAAAGAGCAGGTGTCTTTAGCAAACAGCATTGCCAGTAGCAGATGGCATAGTGGGGTGCCACCGTTCAGCTCACCTCCAGTCGGCTGCCATGCTGCAGCTTATCAGGGGGAGTATTGAGGTTGATGCAGTGCAAACACACCATCAGGAGCACCAGATTGGTTCTGCAAGTGTGCTTGCAGCTCACCACTTTGCTTTTTCTCTTCCATCTCCCAGTAAGCAGCAGGAACAAACTGGAGTTTGGGTGAGTGGGCCCCACCCCTACCACGCTGGCTGCTATTAAGCATTGCACTGTGTGATAAAGGAGGCCACATATACTGTTTATGTAAAGGCTGGTGGTATAAGAGATGTGAACGTGTGGGGCGGGGGGAAAGGTTAACATTGTGGGGGGGTTTTCCTGGGAAGCTTTAAAACCCATTTGTGCTCAAAATACTCTAGTGCCAGAACTGAAGTGTGAGACTTGTAAATCCTTTGTATATTTAATGCACAATGCTGTTCCTAGAACCATAGACACTTTAATTGCTGAGAATGAAATCAGGAGGAGTGCTTCCTTGGCAAGCAGCCTTATGCACAGGAAATGAGGGGATGCCATTAGATCCTTGTTCCAACTGACTTTTGTCATGTCAGTTCCTTCCTGGAAAAGATATGCCTGACTGGTGAGAAGTAGTGTGAAGATAGATGATTTTTCAGCTTTGGGGTATATAAGAGAAGGGTGTGTATGAAAGTGAGTGCTGAAAATGAGTATTTCTTAGCCTGTTGAAATTTTTTTCTCAGTTTTAAATCTATCACTGTTTCATCCCAGGAGTTATACAGGGGAGCTCTTTCTACACAAGGTTGTAAAAAAAGACATCAATTAAATAGACCCATAAATATGGAGGAGATCCAAAATGCGATGAAAAAAATGAAATTGGGGAAGGCGCCAGGGCCGGATGGCTCATCGGCTAAATATTACAAAGTTTTGGGGAATCAACTGTCAACCGCGCTATGCGACACTATGAATAACATCCTGAGAGGAGGGAAAATACCTGAGTCTTGGAGAGAAGCCTTTATAACATTAATTCCCAAACCAGACACAGATAAATTGAATATTAAGAACTACAGGCCAATATCCCTGTTAAATAATGACTATAAAATCTACGCCGACATTATGGCAAGCAGACTGAAAAAGTACTTAACAAATTTAATTCACAAAGACCAAGCGGGGTTTTTACCTAATAGATTTCTGAAAGATAACGTGAGGCACGTTATCGATTTAATAGAATATCTGGAGATTAAAAATGAGATACCTGCAGCTTTAATCTTTATAGACGCAGAAAAGGCATTTGACAACGTCTCTTGGTCATTTTTGTTAAAAACCATGGAAAGGGCAGGGATAGAGGGCGAATTCCTGAAAGGAATACAGGCGATATATTCAAACCAATTTGCCAAGCTGGTTATAAATAACAATCTTACAAGTAGATTTAAAATTGAGAAAGGAACGAGGCAGGGGTGCCCCCTCTCCCCACTCTTGTTCATAATGGTTTTGGAAATCCTGGCGAATAAGATAAGATCAAAGCCAGAGATACAAGGGATCATAATAGTCTCAAAAGAGTACAAACTAAAAGCCTACGCGGACGACTTGATATTATCCTTGGGAGGACCGCAAGAAAGCATCAACAAAGCCCTGGAGACATTAGAGGAATATGGGAAATTTTCGGGTTTTAAATTAAACAAAGTGAAAACAAAGATGCTGACAAAAAATTGGATAATGATGAAAAGGAGAAATTAGAGAGGAAATTCGGAATTAAAGTGGTTAGAAAAGTAAAATACCTAGGAATTTGGCTTACATCGAAAAATATAAATTTAATCGAAGACAATTATTCGGCAACATGGAATAAAGTTAAAAAAGACTTGGACGTGTGGAGCAGAGTTAAACTCTCATGGCTGGGCAGGATGGAAGCTATAAAAATGAATATACTACGCAAGATGCTGTTCTTATTTCAAAACATCCCAGTCATAAGAGGATCCAAAATATTTAAAGAATGGCAAAAAACCCTCTCGAGATTTATATGGCAAGGCAGAAGGCCTAGGATTAGATTTAAATTGCTTACAGATAGAAAGGAGAGAGGAGGACTTGCTGTCCCCAACCTAAAACTCTATTATGAAGCAGCTTGCTTGTGTTGGGTCAAAGATTGGATAACCTTGGAGAATACTGACCTATTGGACCTAGAAGGAGCAGACAATAGGTACGGCTGGCATGCCTACCTTTGGTTAAACAAAGGGAAGGTACACAAAGGATTTGCGAATCACATTATCAGAGGCCCTCTTTACGAAGTCTGGGAAAAAAATAAAAAACTGTTAGAGTGGAAAACACCGTGGTGGCTGTCCCCTACAGATATCTTACTAATCAAGAAGACAAATCTGGAAGAACAAAAACTGACATACGAAGATTTACTAATAAGATCTCAAGATAGCTGGAAATTAAGACCATATGAGGAGTTGAAGGAGAAGCTGAAGGGCTGGTTTCAATACCACCAGGTTAATGCATTATGGACGGAAGATAAAAAATTAGGAATGAATGAAAAAAAATCCAAATTTCAAATCGAAATAATTGAAAGTAAATCCAAGTTATTATCCAAAATGTATAACATTCTATTAGAATGGGACACAAAGGATGAAGAAATTAAAGAAGTCATGGTCAAATGGGCGATAGACCTGGGGCATAACATTGAATACGAAAAATGGTCAAAACTTTGGAATGAGGGAATAAAATTTACGGCAAGCGCTGCAATTAGAGAGAATCTAGAAAAAATGGTATACAGATGGTACTTAACACCGGAAAAATTAAACAGGATGTACAAGACCGGCAATAAGGAATGTTGGAGATGTAAAATAAAAGAAGGCAACTTTATACACATGTGGTGGACATGTGAGGAAGTAAAAAAATTCTGGAACCAGATATATGATGAATTAAAAAAAATATTCAGATACACATTTCCTAAAAAACCTGAGGCCTTCTTGTTGGGGATGGTGGGAAAAGAAATAAGGGATAAAGATAAAACCTTATTTCAATATTCAACAGCAGCGGCCAGAATGTTAATCGCTCAAAATTGGAAAAACACAAACTTACCAACAGTAAAGGATTGGCAATCAAAACTATATGGCTTTATTGAATTGGCAAAGATGACACAAAGAATTAGAAATCAAAAAAATGCAAAGTTAAATGAGGAATGGATTAAATTTTCAGCTTATATGGAAGGCAATTTTAGAAACTTACCAACTATAGCAGGTCTAGTATAAAACTTTCGATGTGCAAACTAAAAACCAACACCAGTGGTAAAGTATAATGTATAAAAATGAAAACCCGAAACCAGTAGGGAAGGAAGTAGATGTTGAATGTTAAGTGTTGTATGTAAACTTTCTGGTGCTTTTTTGTTCTTTTTGTGTTTTTCGCTTTCGTTATCTTACTATGTTCCGTGTATTTTCTTTTTTTCCTTTTTTTTTCTTTTTTGTAAATTTCTTCTTTGTATCTATTTTTGTTGGTGTAATGACAAAGGAAATTCAATAAAAAGATTTAAAAAAACAACAACACAAGGTTGTAAAATGAACCTTGCAGGGTATCAGTGTGATTCTTTTAAAATCTGTTCATTTGGAATAATATTTAACCCTTGCATATTTATATAGGGTGACAAAGTACTGTTGTTCCTTGTTTTAGTTCATACTGTTATGGTGAAAGGCATGGTGGCAGGAGCCTGAGGGAAAAGAGACATATTTCCATTATTTTAATCTATCTAGTCTTAGTAGCCAATTTAAGGATCCAATATATAATTCCCTGTAATACACAGTACCTCAGTCATCTGTTGGGAAGTAAAATGGGGCCAGCTAAAAATAAGGTAGAGGTTTATGCAAACTCAGGTGATTCCCTGTGTTTGTGGAAGAGTGTTATTTTGTAAATGGAAAAGCAAAGGGATATTTAGAACCTAGGACCCCATTACAAGGACCCCATACACAGGGACTGCAAGGGCCTGCTGAATGCAGAAACAGAAAACAACTTTATGGCATTCTACAGTGATGTTTGGTGACAGGGGTGGGGAGACTTATACCCCAACACCCATAGCAATAACAAGCTTAAGATCATGGCCAGCAGCTAGACCCAAACCTAAATCCTTTAGCATTATTTAGCAAATTCCAGGAGGCAGAGAGAGGCTGGGAAAGGTATCTTTTCCCCTCATTTTTCCTTCTTTTTCTATCCCAAAACATTCTCTCCACTATGAGCCTTGAACAAGGCTACTGTTCCAGGCTGCAGCCTTGGACAGGAGGATGTTTCTTAGGAAGTGGGGATACATGCATGTTCTTAGGCTGGTATATTATCTATGTAATGTATAAGGAAATCCCTAATCCTAAAGGAATGTAAACTGTCTAAAACCTAGATAACTCCTGTGGGACCTGTTATATTTTACTAAGCACCATCAGCCAGTTACAACTTCAGAATTTATCCATTTATTTTTTGAATTTATATCCCACCCTTCAATGCATGAAGGATGAATAAGACATGAAAATGCATAGGTACACTCTATGGCTAACTTCCAGAATCCTGTTTGGAATTACAGAGATTGAATTTCTGTTCATGATTTTTTTATTTTTTATTTTTAGGACATATGTTAGAATTAGGCTGTAGATTCTAAAAGTCTTCACTGCTG